TTTAATCAGCTACCATCTCTCCTATGGACTTTTTACTGTCTACAGTCTCAGATCAACACAGCCCTGCCCTTCCCATATTAGATTCTTGATGAATGTGTGTTGTTGTTATTCAGCCTGGCTCAATGTGCCCCTTTTTAACTTTGAGCACCCGCCCCTTTAAACCTCTCTGCACGGCCCTGCACTTCACCTGCCGCCTACTGGTGATGGGAATTATAAAGTGGAATTGTAAAGCGCTTTGAGGGTCTCATAAAGCGCTATATGAATGCAATCCATTGTTATTTAAACCAACTGTTAACTGTATATTTCTGTACATTTAAGTATTATTATTCATATTGCCGCATTCATTGACCGTTTTTATAGGTAATTTCATTGTTTAATCACATTCAATTGTTCCTAATTTAAAGTTTAAAAAAATTCAAAATCCCATGTAAAATTAGGGCAACAAACTGTATTGTCATTACTGAAAATAACCGTATTTTCATGGGAAAGTTATTTTCTGTTATTTTATGGTATTATTTTGGCGCCCCAGCTGCCGGAATATTACTGTTTTTTTAGGATTTTTTTTTTTATGTTGTAGGGTTTCCCAGGTACCAGCTGTCAGATACACTGCAACAACATCCTAGATAAAATCAAAACTAGTTTTATTTAAAACCATGGTTTTAATAATAAATTCAATTCAATAAATTAAAAATTCAATAAAGAATGTCATTTTTTTCTGCTCATTAAAGTCACTGGTTGCAAGAGAGTTTTTTTCTGTTTAGTCAATCATCAAATTCACAAACCCTTTCTTAATAGATCTGCTTTACACAAACCCTCTTTGAGGATTGTGCCAGGAAGTGTATTTGGCATTAAAGTCTGCCAAATGAAAAAAGCACTGCTGTCTATGAAGACCTCTTAGGGCAAGGCAGTAGTCAAAAGTAGTCTGTAGACATGAATCCCAGCTTTATTGAACTAAAGAAAAACTTAGAATAACTAGAAGTCTTTGAATGAATGAATGAATGTCTTTGGGATTAGGTGGCTCTTTGAGATCCTCTCCAAACAGTGATGTACCTAAGAGTCACAGACAGATAGGTGGGATATACAGATAGACCTTTTTTTCTCGGCAGACATCTTGACATCAAATATATTCCAGTATTCAGTCCTGCCTTTGAGGATCAGAGTCTGTTTTAGCCTGCTGTCTTAGGATGGACAGCTACAAATAATAATAATAATAATGATGGATTGCATTTATATAGCGCTTTTCGGGGCCCTCAAAGCGCTGTACAATTCCACTATTCATTCACTCTCACATTCACACACTGGTGGAGGCAAGCTACAGTTGTAGCCACAGCTGCCCTGGGGCAGACTGACATATTGTTCCATCGGCCCCTCTGGCCAACACCAGTAGGCGGTAGGTGAAGTGTCTTACCCAAGGACACAACGACCGAGACTGTCCGAGCCGGGGCTCGAACCGGCAACCTTCTGGTTACAAGACGAACTGCCAACTCTTTATATAAGAAATAACAAGTATAGCCTAAAAGAAGACAAAAAAATAGCTTAAAAATATACCTAAAATCTTTTTTATAATTGAATTATTCAACTAACTCGATGCATCGTTGCACCCCTGATCATGTTGTGTCATATGAACTAATAATGTCGCTACTGATCAATTACATTTTAAAACTTGCTAAAAAGGCTTTAACAGTCCAAGGAAGCTCCTTTTTCTCTTTTTAAGGAGAGGTCAGTTCCACATCATGGTTTTATTAAGTGATTAGTTTCAGTTAAATGACAGGAAACAGAAAAAAAAGCAAACAGCAAATTATTAAAACAAACATCTGTAATGAACACATATACATATACCTATATAGACAACACAAGAATGCTACACTGCAAACCTATTTCAGTAAATAATTAGTGAAAG